GCAGAGAGAGTAAGCAGGGGCGGACGAAGGGGGTGTCCGGGGGTCCGGACCCCCCAAAAACCCAGACTTTTTCAAATTCCCTTACAGCACTCGGTCTTTCAACCATGTAAAGTAAAAAAATGTTTGATCGGACCCCCCCCCCCAAAATTTTTTCTGCGTCCGCCCCTGAAAGACATAATTGTGTTTTTAACTGGAGCACTTTTAACTTTATTCACTTTACGAAACGCACGTTGGGTTAACACAATTGAGAATTTATTTTCAATGTAGAGCTGAACAATTTGAGCGCGTTCCTTTGGAGTGTATTGTTCCATGGTATCAATTGTCTTCGACTGACGCTTCCAACGTGGTATGACATTCGACGATCTGTCGACTAGAGCTGGGTCGACCACTCAAATTATTTTCGATATATCGAGTATTTGGGTTTCCGAACCAATATCGATATTCAGTGTCGATGGTAAACGATAGTTGCAAGTGAAAAAAGGGTAATTGTTTACAAGTGCGGTGCGCGGTAAAAACAGCTTAAAAAAAATAAAATATGGAAATTATGTGTTTTTTTCTAAAATTTCGAAATCCGTTGGCAGAAAGTGAAAATGTTGCACCATGTTTTTGTTATTAACAATTAAAGATGCGATTTGTAGTACAAATTCGGATCTGAGTGACCGTATTTCCATGTGATGTGCCGATTATTGCAGTCGTCTGGTGGCGGATTATTGCAAATACGGTCACTCAGATCCGAATTTGTACTACCGGTCGCATCTTTAATTGTTAAGGGGAGGTTCTTTTCTTTTTTTTTCGAAAATTAAGCAAACTTTGAGAATTAATTGCGGAAAAATGAAGAGACATACGAACTTATGCTTTTGAACTTTTGATTCGTTGTTTATTAACGATTAAAAAAAAATTCAATAATTTGCTTCACCATATCTTTCATTTCGCATAATTTTCGGAGGGAGAGAAAAATAGTATTTTCATGAGTGCCTTGTCATTTAAGTTCACATTGAAATTGCTTTCAATAGTGTAAGTCCAGTTTACCTATTTTTTAAAGGGTTTGTTATTGGTTTGCCATTTGAAATAAATATTGTTGAGCCATTAACAACTGGACAACTATCTAGGTACATCGACGAGGGCGAATTCCGAACTAAGGACATCATGGAGGAGGAGCACCAGCGCAACGGTCGCTACCGCAGTCAGTTGGGCGGTTACCAGCCAAGTCAACGTTCCGTTCATATGCACCACCACTTCCACGATGGCCACCAACAAGAGCTCGGCTCAGCGCCTCCTTTGCAACGAGAATCAAATAACCGTTCAAGCGAAACCTTGTCCAACGGCGGAGTGGAGCCTTGCCGCTGCAGGACTGATCCGGACGCAATGTTTTTAATGAGTCTGCTGCCAGATATTCAAACGCTGGACGGACGGGACCGCGAAAGTCTCAAAATAGGCATGCGGACACTACTTCAAAACTTATTACATCCATAGTTTCCATCTCCATAATATACCTTTACACTTTCCATAATTCGATCTCTATGTACCTTTACACTTTCCATTAAAATTATATCAAAATAAAAAATTTCCGTCAAAATAGCCAAAAATTAGCGTCACGAGGTTTATGGATGGCCCAAAATGAATCCCTTCAAATAAAACGCTGTTTAAAACTGTGTTGCATTCTTTAGAACGTACACTGAGTAGACGCCATTTTGTTTCTGTTTTGACGGTATATTAAATCAAAAAGCGGTAAATAAATGGCAGAAAAGGAGAGAAGATAGCGGTAAGGGGAAGCAGAAAGCTAACGAGATGTGGAAGAAGAGGAGCGCGCTAAAATAAATAATTAACAACGGTAGCATAAGGCGAGAGCGAGAGGCAAAACAACAATGAAGAGCGCTCACTCACACACACACACACACCCACATGTAAACAGAAGCTCACAGACACACACACATGAAGAGTGAAAGACCAATCAGCGCGACAAAACAATGGTCACACATACACACAGAAAAGCAGAGAGAGTAAGCAGGGGCGGACGAAGGGGGGTGTCCGGGGGTCCGGACCCCCCCAAAAACCCAGACTTTTTCAAATTCCCTTACAGCACTCGGTCTTTCAACCATGTAAAGTAAAAAAATGTTTGATCGGACCCCCCCCCAAAATTTTTTCTGCGTCCGCCCCTGAAAGACATAATTGTGTTTTTAACTGGAGCACTTTTAACTTTATTCACTTTACGAAACGCACGTTGGGTTAACACAATTGAGAATTTATTTTCAATGTAGAGCTGAACAATTTGAGCGCGTTCCTTTGGAGTGTATTGTTCCATGGTATCAATTGTCTTCGACTGACGCTTCCAACGTGGTATGACATTCGACGATCTGTCGACTAGAGCTGGGTCGACCACTCAAATTATTTTCGATATATCGAGTATTTGGGTTTCCGAACCAATATCGATATTCAGTGTCGATGGTAAACGATAGTTGCAAGTGAAAAAAGGGTAATTGTTTACAAGTGCGGTGCGCGGTAAAAACAGCTTAAAAAAAAGTAAAATATGGAAATTATGTGTTTTTTTCTAAAATTTCGAAATCCGTTGGCAGAAAGTGAAAATGTTGCACCATGTTTTTGTTATTAACAATTAAAGATGCGATTTGTAGTACAAATTCGGATCTGAGTGACCGTATTTCCATGTGATGTGCCGATTATTGCAGTCGTCTGGTGGCGGATTATTGCAAATACGGTCACTCAGATCCGAATTTGTACTACCGGTCGCATCTTTAATTGTTAAGGGGAGGTTCTTTTCTTTTTTTTCGAAAATTAAGCAAACTTTGAGAATTAATTGCGGAAAAATGAAGAGACATACGAACTTATGCTTTTGAACTTTTGATTCGTTGTTTATTAACGATTAAAAAAAAATTCAATAATTTGCTTCACCATATCTTTCATTTCGCATAATTTTCGGAGGGAGAGAAAAATAGTATTTTCATGAGTGCCTTGTCATTTAAGTTCACATTGAAATTGCTTTCAATAGTGTAAGTCCAGTTTACCTATTTTTTAAAGGGTTTGTTATTGGTTTGCCATTTGAAATAAATATTGTTGAGCCATTAACAACTGGACAACTATATAGGTACATCGACGAGGGCGAATTCCGAACTAAGGACATCATGGAGGAGGAGCACCAGCGCAACGGTCGCTACCGCAGTCAGTTGGGCGGTTACCAGCCAAGTCAACGTTCCGTTCATATGCACCACCACTTCCACGATGGCCACCAACAAGAGCTCGGCTCAGCGCCTCCTTTGCAACGAGAATCAAATAACCGTTCAAGCGAAACCTTGTCCAACGGCGGAGTGGAGCCTTGCCGCTGCAGGACTGATCCGGACGCAATGTTTTTAATGAGTCTGCTGCCAGATATTCAAACGCTGGACGGACGGGACCGCGAAAGTCTCAAAATAGGCATGCGGACACTACTTCAAAACTTATTACATCCATAGTTTCCATCTCCATAATATACCTTTACACTTTCCATAATTCGATCTCTATGTACCTTTACACTTTCCATTAAAATTATATCAAAATAAAAAATTTCCGTCAAAATAGCCAAAAATTAGCGTCACGAGGTTTATGGATGGCCCAAAATGAATCCCTTCAAATAAAACGCTGTTTAAAACTGTGTTGCATTCTTTAGAACGTACACTGAGTAGACGCCATTTTGTTTCTGTTTTGACGGTATATTAAATCAAAAAGCGGTAAATAAATGGCAGAAAAGGAGAGAAGATAGCGGTAAGGGGAAGCAGAAAGCTAACGAGATGTGGAAGAAGAGGAGCGCGCTAAAATAAATAATTAACAACGGTAGCATAAGGCGAGAGCGAGAGGCAAAACAACAATGAAGAGCGCTCACTCACACACACACACACACCCACATGTAAACAGAAGCTCACAGACACACACACATGAAGAGTGAAAGACCAATCAGCGCGACAAAACAATGGTCACACATACACACAGAAAAGCAGAGAGAGTAAGCAGGGGCGGACGAAGGGGGTGTCCGGGGGTCCGGACCCCCCAAAAACCCAGACTTTTTCAAATTCCCTTACAGCACTCGGTCTTTCAACCATGTAAAGTAAAAAAATGTTTGATCGGACCCCCCCCCAAAATTTTTTTCTGCGTCCGCCCCTGAAAGACATAATTGTGTTTTTAACTGGAGCACTTTTAACTTTATTCACTTTACGAAACGCACGTTGGGTTAACACAATTGAGAATTTATTTTCAATGTAGAGCTGAACAATTTGAGCGCGTTCCTTTGGAGTGTATTGTTCCATGGTATCAATTGTCTTCGACTGACGCTTCCAACGTGGTATGACATTCGACGATCTGTCGACTAGAGCTGGGTCGACCACTCAAATTATTTTCGATATATCGAGTATTTGGGTTTCCGAACCAATATCGATATTCAGTGTCGATGGTAAACGATAGTTGCAAGTGAAAAAAGGGTAATTGTTTACAAGTGCGGTGCGCGGTAAAAACAGCTTAAAAAAAAGTAAAATATGGAAATTATGTGTTTTTTTCTAAAATTTCGAAATCCGTTGGCAGAAAGTGAAAATGTTGCACCATGTTTTTGTTATTAACAATTAAAGATGCGATTTGTAGTACAAATTCGGATCTGAGTGACCGTATTTCCATGTGATGTGCCGATTATTGCAGTCGTCTGGTGGCGGATTATTGCAAATACGGTCACTCAGATCCGAATTTGTACTACCGGTCGCATCTTTAATTGTTAAGGGGAGGTTCTTTTCTTTTTTTCGAAAATTAAGCAAACTTTGAGAATTAATTGCGGAAAAATGAAGAGACATACGAACTTATGCTTTTGAACTTTTGATTCGTTGTTTATTAACGATTAAAAAAAAATTCAATAATTTGCTTCACCATATCTTTCATTTCGCATAATTTTCGGAGGGAGAGAAAAATAGTATTTTCATGAGTGCCTTGTCATTTAAGTTCACATTGAAATTGCTTTCAATAGTGTAAGTCCAGTTTACCTATTTTTTAAAGGGTTTGTTATTGGTTTGCCATTTGAAATAAATATTGTTGAGCCATTAACAACTGGACAACTATCTAGGTACATCGACGAGGGCGAATTCCGAACTAAGGACATCATGGAGGAGGAGCACCAGCGCAACGGTCGCTACCGCAGTCAGTTGGGCGGTTACCAGCCAAGTCAACGTTCCGTTCATATGCACCACCACTTCCACGATGGCCACCAACAAGAGCTCGGCTCAGCGCCTCCTTTGCAACGAGAATCAAATAACCGTTCAAGCGAAACCTTGTCCAACGGCGGAGTGGAGCCTTGCCGCTGCAGGACTGATCCGGACGCAATGTTTTTAATGAGTCTGCTGCCAGATATTCAAACGCTGGACGGACGGGACCGCGAAAGTCTCAAAATAGGCATGCGGACACTACTTCAAAACTTATTACATCCATAGTTTCCATCTCCATAATATACCTTTACACTTTCCATAATTCGATCTCTATGTACCTTTACACTTTCCATTAAAATTATATCAAAATAAAAAATTTCCGTCAAAATAGCCAAAAATTAGCGTCACGAGGTTTATGGATGGCCCAAAATGAATCCCTTCAAATAAAACGCTGTTTAAAACTGTGTTGCATTCTTTAGAACGTACACTGAGTAGACGCCATTTTGTTTCTGTTTTGACGGTATATTAAATGAAAAAGCGGTAGATAAATGGCAGAGAAGGAGAGAAGATAGCGGTAAAGAGGAGCAGAAAGCTAACGAGATGGGGAAGAGGAGGGGCGCGCTAAAATAAATAATTAACAACGGTAGCATAAGGCGAGAGCGAGAGGCAAAACAACAATGAAGAGCGCTCACTCACACACACACACACACCCACATGTAAACAGAAGCTCACAGACACACACACATGAAGAGTGAAAGACCAATCAGCGCGACAAAACAATGGTCACACATACACACAGAAAAGCAGAGAGAGTAAGCAGGGGCGGACGAAGGGGGGCACTTTTAACTTTATTCACTTTACGAAACGCACGTTGGGTTAACACAATTGAGAATTTATTTTCAATGTAGAGCTGAACAATTTGAGCGCGTTCCTTTGGGGTGTATTGTTCCATGGTATCAATTGTCTTCGACTGACGCTTCCAACGTGGTATGACATTCGACGATCTGTCGACTAGAGCTGGGTCGACCACTCAAATTATTTTCGATATATCGAGTATTTGGGTTTCCGAACCAATATCGATATTCAGTGTCGATGGTAAACGATAGTTGCAAGTGAAAAAAGGGTAATTGTTTACAAGTGCGGTGCGCGGTAAAAACAGCTTAAAAAAAAAGTAAAATATGGAAATTATGTGTTTTTTTCTAAAATTTCGAAATCCGTTGGCAGAAAGTGAAAATGTTGCACCATGTTTTTGTTATTAACAATTAAAGATGCGATTTGTAGTACAAATTCGGATCTGAGTGACCGTATTTCCATGTGATGTGCCGATTATTGCAGTCGTCTGGTGGCGGATTATTGCAAATACGGTCACTCAGATCCGAATTTGTACTACCGGTCGCATCTTTAATTGTTAAGGGGAGGTTCTTTTCTTTTTTTTCGAAAATTAAGCAAACTTTGAGAATTAATTGCGGAAAAATGAAGAGACATACGAACTTATGCTTTTGAACTTTTGATTCGTTGTTTATTAACGATTAAAAAAAATTCAATAATTTGCTTCACCATATCTTTCATTTCGCATAATTTTCGGAGGGAGAGAAAAATAGTATTTTCATGAGTGCCTTGTCATTTAAGTTCACATTGAAATTGCTTTCAATAGTGTAAGTCCAGTTTACCTATTTTTTAAAGGGTTTGTTATTGGTTTGCCATTTGAAATAAATATTGTTGAGCCATTAACAACTGGACAACTATATAGGTACATCGACGAGGGCGAATTCCGAACTAAGGACATCATGGAGGAGGAGCACCAGCGCAACGGTCGCTACCGCAGTCAGTTGGGCGGTTACCAGCCAAGTCAACGTTCCGTTCATATGCACCACCACTTCCACGATGGCCACCAACAAGAGCTCGGCTCAGCGCCTCCTTTGCAACGAGAATCAAATAACCGTTCAAGCGAAACCTTGTCCAACGGCGGAGTGGAGCCTTGCCGCTGCAGGACTGATCCGGACGCAATGTTTTTAATGAGTCTGCTGCCAGATATTCAAACGCTGGACGGACGGGACCGCGAAAGTCTCAAAATAGGCATGCGGACACTACTTCAAAACTTATTACATCCATAGTTTCCATCTCCATAATATATGTACCTTTACACTTTCCATAATTCGATCTCTATGTACCTTTACACTTTCCATTAAAATTATATCAAAATAAAAAATTTCCGTCAAAATAGCCAAAAATTAGCGTCACGAGGTTTATGGATGGCCCAAAATGAATCCCTTCAAATAAAACGCTGTTTAAAACTGTGTTGCATTCTTTAGAACGTACACTGAGTAGACGCCATTTTGTTTCTGTTTTGACGGTATATTAAATCAAAAAGCGGTAAATAAATGGCAGAAAAGGAGAGAAGATAGCGGTAAGGGGAAGCAGAAAGCTAACGAGAGGTGGAAGAAGAGGAGCGCGCTAAAATAAATAATTAACAACGGTAGCATAAGGCGAGAGCGAGAGGCAAAACAACAATGAAGAGCGCTCACTCACACACACACACACACCCACATGTAAACAGAAGCTCACAGACACACACACATGAAGAGTGAAAGACCAATCAGCGCGACAAAACAATGGTCACACATACACACAGAAAAGCAGAGAGAGTAAGCAGGGGCGGACGAAGGGGGGTGTCCGGGGGTCCGGACCCCCCAAAAACCCAGACTTTTTCAAATTCCCTTACAGCACTCGGTCTTTCAACCATGTAAAGTAAAAAAATGTTTGATCGGACCCCCCCCCCAAATTTTTTCTGCGTCCGCCCCTGAAAGACATAATTGTGTTTTTAACTGGAGCACTTTTAACTTTATTCACTTTACGAAACGCACGTTGGGTTAACACAATTGAGAATTTATTTTCAATGTAGAGCTGAACAATTTGAGCGCGTTCCTTTGGAGTGTATTGTTCCATGGTATCAATTGTCTTCGACTGACGCTTCCAACGTGGTATGACATTCGACGATCTGTCGACTAGAGCTGGGTCGACCCATGATACAATTATACAAGGTAGTCCACTCGGCTTGCCGAAGTCTTTCGGCTTTGGTCCCTTATTTTCAGTGCGTGCCTGCTTGTCGAACTGAAAGGTTGTGTACGGACGGTTTTTTTTCTTGAGACTTTAACCTTTAAGTGGTCAAGCAAAAAATGTCATTTTGCAGTTCTTGTCGCAAGCACGTGCTAGGCGTAAAGTTTGTGCATGTTCCAAAGTGTGTTGCAAAAAGAACTTTGTGGGAGCAGTCTCTGGGCTGTAGCCTTAGTGAGAGCTCTAAAATTTGCGATACGCATTTTAGCGCTTCACAGTGGAAGTCGTTATCAGAGGCAGGGCACCCACCGAAAAGAAGACGTCTTAATAGATAGATCGGGCACTTCATCTAGAAAACAAAAGCCTGAAGAACAAGATAAGTCTTGTAGAAACGGAAATGCAGTCCTTACGTCAGCAACTTGATGATCTTGAAAAGTCTCTAGGCAAAATATTTACTAGGACTCAAATAAATATTTTGAAGAGTGGCGGAAAAAGAGCAGTTTTTAATGCAGCCGACATGTCTGAAGCGATTTGCCTCCATACCGCGGGTCCTCGTGCTTACCGTCATTTATACAGGAAAGGCTTTCCTCTTCCGTGTCGTTCAACGCTGTACAATTGGTTGGCAGAGATAAAAATTACACCAGGAACCCTTGATATAGTAATTGACCTTATGGAAAATGAAGATATGCCCGAAATCGATAAGCTCTGCGTCTTGTGCTTCGATGAGATGAAGGTTGCTGCTGCCTATGAATATGACAGCTCAGCGGATGCTGTCTTGGAGCCAAGCAACTATGTTCAAGTGGCTATAGTACGTGGCTTGAAGAAATCGTGGAAGCAACCAGTGTTCTTCGACTTCAACGCTGCAATGGACGTAGCAACTCTGCACTCCATTTTGATAAAACTGCACAAGAAAGGTTTTCCAGTAGTAGCTATTGTGTCAGACTTGGGCCCTGGAAATCAAAGCCTTTGGAGACAGCTTGGTATATCGGAGAGTAAGTTTTTGTATGAATGAGTACATAACATAAATTTTAATTTATTTGCATTTTTAGCAAAGACCTGGTTTAGCCATCCGGCGGCTGCACATTTAAAAGTGTTTGTTTTTTCCGACACTCCACACCTGGTGAAGTTAATCCGTAACCACTATATCGGCTCCGGATTAAACATCAACGGGAAAAGGTTGAGAAAGTCCACAATCCAGCAGACTATTCGATGCTGTGCCCAGTCCGACGTGTCGATACTGTTCAAGGTGACCGATAGCCATATTCATGTTGAGTCGCTGGCTAAACAAAAAGTTAAACTGGCAACGCAACTTTTCTCCCATACAACCGCCAGTTGTGTTAGACGTTGCTATGCATTGGGGAATGTAATAGAGAACCCGTGCGAAACAGCTGATTTCTTTGATCTGGTCAACGACTGGTTCGATGTGTTCAACACAAAAATGTCAACAGCAAACTCAATTGAAACCACGCAGCCTTACGGAAAACAACTCAAAATGCAACAAGGCATTTTGGTTGAAATGTCGAAGATAATGGCAAATACGAATCTTGTTGACAATCGTATGCTGCCTTTCCAAAAAGGCATTTTGGTAAGCAATGCATCCCTTGACGGTTTGCATAGCTACTTGGCGGAGAAGTATGGTTTGAAGTACATTTTAACAAGTCGTCTTAATCAAGATATTCTCGAAAACTTTTTTGGGGCTATGCGGTCGAAAGGTGGACAGTTCGACCATCCGAGTCCATTGCAGTTCAAGTATAGACTAAGAAAATATATAACAGGTATTTCAAATACAACCGATTAATATTTCATTAATATTAACACCACTAATTGTCAAATGTTTAGATATATGTTTCAGAGACGCTTCTTTGTTTGTATTGCGATTCGTATTTTGTGCTGTCCTTCATGTTTTTTAATTTTTTATAAGTTTTTAATAACTTTTAAATCTTATTTATCTTATTTATCTCTAAGAATACAGAATTGTTGAATGGCAAGCAAGACGATTCTGAAGAATGGTTCAATCTTGACTTTTCTCAAGCCGTCCCAAATCTTGAAAACGAAGAGAACGAGCCTGAAGATTGCAATCTCCAATTTGATTTTGAGGACAGCTTAGTAGAAGAGATCAACGAGTTGACGGAGGATGCACTTGAATATCTGGCTGGTTACGTCATCAAAAAATTAAATTTGTCTACCGAGTTAGCAAAAGAGTCGACATTTACATACGTAGATGAGGTTTCTCATGGAGGACTGATGAAACCTTCATCGACATTTAAAAGCAAAATAAAACAACTTGAAGTCATATTTTTACATGTTGTTAAAGACACATTTAAAATATCAACAAATATAAAACAGACATTACTAAACGCTGCTGATCAGGTCGATATTAGTGTAAATATAAAAAAATTTTATTTTAAGATACGTATATACTAGAGTTGCCGCGAATAGTGATTTTGCCGAATACCGAATACCGAATGTTCGGCCATGCTGTAAGCCGAAGCGCCGAATATTCGGCCGCCGAACATTCGGCACAAAGTACATGCTACATTGTTGCCAGTTTAGCTTATTATAAGCTAGTTCTAGCATATTTAAAACTAGGGAAGCTATAGTGAGAGGTTGTTTTCCGAAGCAGGTATTATTTACGATGAAAAGCGAAATCGGTTACTACCGACAAATGCAGAAAAACTGGTGTTCGTTCATCACAACTTACCGCTAATTAATTTTACTTATTGACATATTTTAATTTAATAATAAAAAAAAGTTTTGATAAAAGTGATGTGTTTTTTTCAGGATTTGGCACTATTCGGCATTCGGCCGAATAGTACCTATTATTCGGCCGAATGCCGAATACCAAAAAAAGTGGCCGAATAGGCCGAATACCGAATACTTGCCGAATATTCGCGGCAACTCTAGTTATATAACTTAATTAATTCTTAAATTTATAACTTTTTTTAACTGACTTCTGTTTGTAAAGGGCTTTAAAATTTATTTCACATAGATTTGAACATTTTACTAGGTGTCTTTACGCGAATTTTACCCCACTTCTCCATTAAAGCAATCTTAAGATAATTTTCGAGGGAAAATTCACTTTTCTGAATCGCATAGTCCAAAATTTCCCACAAATGTTCAACAAATTTTAAGTGTGTAGACTGTGTTGGCGTTTTAATCCTGTTGAGGCAGTTCTAGTCAAAAAAGTGTGAAAAATAAGGTCCGAGTTGCACTAAACCAAATATTCAACGACTCCGAGGAGCGCTGTTTTGTCCGAAAAACTAAGGAACCCCTCAAGCTTTCGGCTTCAACATTTGTGTGGAGATTGAGAACGAAATGGTCAATAAATATTACCCAAATTCAGTTTGGAACATATTGCACCACCATGCTTTTAATGGTCTAGTTGCAAGAAAGAATATTTTCAAAGGTATAAAAATAAGATGCATTGGGCCAAGTCCGCACTGGTGCTTAAAATTCGCCCGATTTTTTTCTTAAATGGCAAAATTTTTGCAGACGAATCAATATTTCATTTTTTTTTAATCGGTTGGGAGACGCTACATGGAGCGGTGTTCCAATGCGGAGCAGGAAACTAAAAAGTTATGCGCAATGATTTCGCACGGCGGTGACCATGTCATTGTTTAGGCTTATATGGCTGCGTCCGGCTTCGGGAATAAGGTTTTCATTGTCGGTATCATGGATGCCAAGATATATTTAACCAATTACATGAAAAATTTGGTTAAAAATGTCGAGAACTTAGGTAAATGGAATCAATTTAGATTCAACCAAGACAATGACCCGAAGCCTATTGCAACAATTGTAAGCTTTGGTTGCGCTGGAACTGCCTCAAGGGGATTTAAGCCCCCACTCAGTCTCCAGACTTTTATTTCATTGAGCATTTGTGGGAAATTTTGGACTTGGCAATTCGGAAATGTGAATTTTCCATCGAAAATGATCTTAAGATTTCCCTGTTTGAGAAGTGGGGTAAAATCCCAGCCAGCAATTGAAAGACTGTTTTTGCATTAAGCACCTTGATGAGTCTTCTTCGAGTCGTTGAAATGATTGAAAAAAGATTCGTTTTATG